TCTTTTATATTTTATTATAAAATTTATATTAAAATTAAAACTTAACTCACACATTTTATTTTTAGTTTTTTCAACGTGAAATTTTTTCCACTCAATAAAGAACTTTATTTTTTTCTCCTCTCCCTTTCAACCTATCCCCCAAAACTTTCTCTCTTTTTACTTTTTATTCTTTTGGCTAAGCCAACCCCCACTCTTTTCTTTTCTTTCAGCTATTTTGTTCAAAATAATAAAATTCGAATAAGAAGAAAATTAAAGAAGAAGAAGAAAATAAAAGAAGAAGAAATCATGATTTCGGTGAATCAAAAGGAAAATATATATTCTCTCTAAAGTAGTGGATACAAGAAATCTTATTAAAAGGCAGAATAATTATCCAAGGAAAGTTTTTTACAAATATTAATTAAGGTGTGATTATGGTTCAAGAAAACAAAAATCTAACAATTTTGGTCCTTATTTTCTTCATTTATTCCTTTCAAAATTTTCCTTATACATGTTTGATTCCCAATATATACGTTTCCCTATATTTGCCATGATTTTATTGTAGGGTTTACCAAGTTACCGCTCATTCTCCTCTTATTCCAGGTAACTATATTTTTGCCCTATGTGTTCTTGATTATTATTATTATTATTATTATTCCCTATAAGTGACTGCTGTACGTGTTCTTTAATATATATTTTTTAAAGTTTTTGCTGGCTAATCTTTTGATGTTTTGCATACTTAATGCATTATTTTCCATTTCCTTTTTACTAATTTTTTGTTATTATTATAAGTTGCATATATACTTTCTCTTGTGAAGCCTGTTTGGTTGAGATGATAATGATTTTAATTAATGTAATTATTATTATTTGAAAAAAAACCTTCTGAAATGACATATTTTGAATCTATCCAAGGGTTGTGAAGTTATTTGGGTCTCATATTGATTGTGTTAGCAACTGCATGCATGGCTGTCTCAATGGAATCTCTATTTTAAAAGTAAAATAAAAACTCAAGTCATTTAAGGTTAGAGTTATATATTAGAATTATACTACAATATTTTATAGAATAAATTATGCATAAAATTATTGCATATAACTGAAATTTTCAATTTTTTTTTATCATAAATGCTCAATCAAATAGCCATTTAAATTAATGGTTTCTGAATTCAAAAAGTCAATAAATTATGCATATGATTTTAATTAAATTATCTTTGTAACTGAAATTTTACTGTCAATAATTAGAAAGAAGAAGTATTTGAGGTTTTCTTTGATTTCTTTCAATAATTTTCAAAGAATTTTGATCCTCTCCAATTCTTGCAGTTTTCACAATGTCAAACGAAAAGGTGGATTTTTCACTCAAAGAAACTTCTCCTAAAATCGGCGGAGGGAGAGTTTCTGGTAGCGAGAGACTGACGTCCTCCTTTGACCTTGTCGAACAACTTCATTTCCTCTACGTAAGAATTGTCAGAGCCAGAGGCTTGGCGGAGCCCTGTGACCCTTTTGTGGAAATCAAAATTGGAAACTACAGAGCTACATCAAGAGACTTTGAGAATAGATTCGACCCGGAGTGGAACCAAGTGTTTGCATTTACCAAAGATAGAATTCAAGCAGTGTCTGTGGAGGTCTCTGTGAGGGACAAGGTGAGTGCTGCAATCATCGGAGTTGTGTCATTTCCTATCTCTGACATTCCTAGCCGTGTTCCTCCCGACAGTCCTCTGGCGCCGATATGGTACATATTGGAGGATCAAGATGGGAAGAAAGGGGAGAGAGGAGAGTTAATGATGACTGTATGGATGGGGACGCAGGCTGACGAAGTTTTCCCTGAGGCTTGGCATGCGGATGCTGCGGCTGTCAGTGGTGAAAGCATCACGAATACTCGTTCCAAAGTGTATCTTTCTCCGAGACTTTGGTATCTCAGGATTAATATAATTCAAGCACAGGATTTGGTGTTCCCAAACAGGAACAGGAAACCGGAGGTTCTTGTTAAGGGCATTCTTGGGCATTTAGTTTTGAGAAGTAGAGTTTCGAAGGACAATAGTATCAATCCCACATGGAACGAAGACATGATGTTTGTAGCTGCGGAACCGTTTGATGATCCTTTGACTCTGACAGTGGAGGATAAAATCGGGGAGAACATGGAGGAATGTTTGGGGAAATGTGTGATTCATTTATCCAAAGTGCAGAAAAGGAATCTTCCAATGGCTGCAAGTGCTAATTGGTACAATTTGGAGAGAATTGTGAAGGAGGGTGAAGAAGGCAGGGATGTGAGATTTGCTAGCAGGCTCCATATGAGGGTTTCTCTGGATGGAGGGTATCATGTTGCGGATGAATCTACATATTACAGTAGTGATTTCAGAGCAACAGCTAAGATGTTATGGAAAGCCCCCATTGGAGTCTTGGAATTGGGTATCTTGAATGCGACAGGGTTGATTCCAATGAAGTCGAAGAACCAGAAAGGAACCACGGATGCTTACTGTGTAGCCAAATATGGACCAAAGTGGGTGAGGACCAGGACAATTGTTGACAGTCTCGTTCCGAAATGGCACGAACAGTACACCTGGGAGGTTTATGATCCATACACAGTGATTTCAATCGGAGTTTTCGATAATTGTCACTTGGAAGGAGGAAGGGGAAGGGATCAGACGATTGGGAAGGTGAGAATTCGACTATCTACACTCCAAAGTGATAGAATTTACACACTTTCGTATCCACTCATAGTGTTGCACCTCGGTGGAGTGAAGAAGATGGGGGAACTTCAGTTGGCTGTGAGGTTCACTTGTTCAAATTTGACCAATTTGCTTATATGTTACTCGCAGCCTCTGTTTCCCAAAATGCATTATAGTCATCCCCTGTCTGTGTTTCAAATCGATAGCTTGAGGGACCAAGCTTCTAACATTTTGTGCCTGCGGTTGTCCAGGGCGGAGCCGCCGTTGAGGAGGGAGGTTGTGGAGTACATGCTGGATGTTGGTTCCAACATGTGGAGTATGAGAAAGGGTAAGGCTAATTTTGCGAGAATTGTTGCTGCTCTTGATGGATTAGTTGTGGCTTGGAAATATTTGAACGAGATTTGCAAATGGAAGAATCCGACAGGCACGGTTTTCGCTCACTTCCTTTTCTTGGTTGTTCTTGCAAACCCGCAAATGATCATTGTCGCATTCTTCGTTGGCTGTTTCTTCTTGGGGCTATGGAATTTCAGGAATCGGCCAAGACGCCCTCTCCACATGGATACCAAAATTTCCCTCGCTGAAACTGCAACCCCCGATGAATTGGATGAGGAGTTCGACAGGTTTCCGTCGGCGGCGCCAGTGAATCGTCTTCGGGTGAGATATGACCGGCTGAGGGGGATTGCGGGGCGGTGTATATTGGTGATGGGAGACATCGCGACTCAGCTGGAGAGGTTTCGATCCCTGTTGAGCTGGAGAGATCCCAGGGCTACTATGCTGTTTGTGGCGTTCTGTTTTGTTGCTAGTGTCGTCGTGTTCGTTACTCCTTACAAGGTTTTGCTTGCAGTAGGCGGGTTCTATGTAATGAGGCATCCGAGGTTGCGGGTTAGTCTTCCCTCTGCGCCACAAAACTTCTTCCGCCGGCTGCCCACGAGATTAGATAGCATGCTATGAGATTGAATGAAGCATGCTTCGTTTTGATTTTTGTAATTTCTTCATGATTTTTCAACCTTTTATAAAATAACATTAACCGTGTTTTCTTCATTTTGGGAATGAATGAATGATTAGATACTTGATATCCTAAATTTTAGGAAAAAATTTCATTCGGCTGTTACTTTCATTTAGTTGGCTTTCCAAAAGACCTTATTTGGCTTATCACTAATGCTAGAGAAATCTTCCTCATAATCCCCTTTACCTTGCCATAATACATTAGCCATTTTTTCTTCTTGTTTGTTTTACTTCTAGAGATATATGTGCGTTTTTCTGGGGTGTATTGGCTTCCACGTCTTATTTCTGCTTTTCAACAATTTCCCAGTTGTCTTGCTACACATCCATAATCCCAATGTCCATCTTTCTGTCTCTTTTCATAATCAGAACATCGGTTGCTTAAATGAAATGACACATCAAAACAGGCTTTTTCATCATTACCATTCTGCCGCTCTTTCCTATCATAACCCATCCTCTATCTTTACTCTTTAGGCTTTGCCTTTGATTCTATTTTATGTAGTATTTAAAAGAAGAGGCGAAAAAAAAAAAAAGCCATTGATGTAGTTTGAATGAAGTTCAGTACTTGGAGGTAAGTTTCCGGAACATGAGCTGGTTTCTTTTTTTGGGTTATGATTAATTTATTATCGTCCTCAACACTCTGGTGAATGTACTTTGTAGCTTTATCCCAATCTGTTTGTGTTTATTACTGACTGAAGTTTCTCACTTTCATTTTTTCTTCTGGGTTTTGTTTTACTCTGTTCTCAAATATTTTATATATTACCTTGAAAGCGTGACTTTTGATGGTCGTCTTTGAAGATGGTGATCACGAAGTGATCAGTTCTTTGAATCTACCCACTGTTCAACTGTGTTTTCCATGGCTTTACCTTATGAGCCTTTTTGCCTTGCAAAAAGAATACCCTCCTCTCCTCTTATTTTCCTTTACTTTGCTTTCCTCTCTTCTTTTTGAACTTGTTCTAGGGTAAACGGTGTCTTTGGCTGGCTTCTGTGATCCTTGATGTGGCTCTGATTTTGGGTGTTTTCACTCTCTCTAAGTTACAACCCAAATGGGTTTTGGAGAAAACCCTCCAAAAAGTGACATTTTTATATTTGGCTAGTGTTTTATTTTACTGTCTAGACCAACACAGCCTTAATTTGACTGGGTTTTTCCTTAGCGTTTCTAGGATTTGGGATTTGGGATCCAAGCCAAGGCAGTATCCAGTCGTAGCTTTTGAGGAACTGATGGATTAACAGCACTCATTGTGGTAAATCTGAGTGGGATGCTTTTGTTTCCCACTTTTGTTTCCCAGAAACAAATTTGCCCTTTTTCTGGAAGATCTGTCTTCTTTACCGACCCTATGTCTTCTGAATCTGTCTTTCACTTCCTGTTCTTCAGAGCACTTGTATATCTTGAATTACTATCTTCCTTGGTGTTCTAGGATATTCGGCCTCTAAGGCACTGCCATAATTGCCATATGAATATGGGAAGGAATCCTTTCCCTTCTAGAGGTAGGAGAGTTGGAGGAGTGGCATGCCTTCTCCTAGTACTCAATGGATGTTCAAAGTAAACATTTTCAATTCCTTAATCTTATTTTTTTAATTTCTTCTCACTGATCTTTTTCTAAATATTGTTAAACAGGTAATGGATTTTATATCTGTAGCTAGAATTTGATTGCTTGTGCCAGATGATTTAGAGACTTATGCAGATAAAAAATAAGGGTTGCTTCAATTAATATTGGTTAAGGAATATAGAATGTCGTGATGATTGCTTCTAAACACAAATATAAACCATTTGCTATTTAAAGCTTTTTCTCCCTGATTATAATTAGTGTAATCTTATACTATTATATTTTGCACCAAATTATGTAATTACTAAGATCAGCTCAGGTTTTAACTCATGATTCTTACATTGAAACTCAAATTATCATTAGTTAATTAGTTTATTTGTTTTGAACACAATTGATAAATTAGTAATTTGGTTATCTATGAGACCTCTAGTAGAGAAAGTGATAATATTGTACATGATTTCAGGGCCATTAGTTAGGTTGGATAACTTGTTTTTTCATCTTACAAGGTGTTTATATGTTGGATCAAGGGCATCGATGTTAAGTTGTGTATAAAGCATTTGAAATCGCAGTACAAGTTTGGTGTAAAGTTGATTGTAGAATCCATTTCTGGAGAAGGGATGGAGGGATTGTAAAATTGTTTTGCTCTAAAGAAAAACAATGAAAATGGAGAGCAGAACAACTGAACTATTTCATTGAAACTTGAATTATGTACAAGTTTGGTATGACAGACAAAAACAAAAAGTAGCAACCATGTGAACAGAATAGTTTTTCCTAAACCTTTGCTACCTTTTCTAAAGTAATTGACCAAGAGCAACTAAGCATAAAGACAAAGTAGAATTAAAATGCAACAAAAAACTTGGAATAAATTGAACTAAATCAATTTCATGAAGTCTAGTTCTTGAAATCTTTATTTCTTCAAAAATACCCGTAAAGTATGTGCAGACTTGCTGCCACAGCTTCAACACTCCTCCTTGATAGCAACATTACACATGCCAAGCATACCCCTCAAATATTCGAAACTTGCCTTTTGCAATCCTTTGGTAAAAATATCAGCTAACTGTTCCTCAGAACTGCTGTACAATAACTGAATTTCACCATCTTGAGTTGCCGGTCTCAAAGTTTGGTATTTGATCTTTATATGCTTAGTTCTCTTGTGAAAAACAGGATTCTTGGCAATTGCCACTGCTAACTGGTTATCACAAAGCATTTCAGTAGGCTTTGTTTGAGGATACTTAACATCAGCTAGTAATTTCCTTAACCAAACAGCCTGATTCACAGTTACTGCAGTAGAGATGTATTCTGCTTCAGCTGTGGATTGTGCAACTGAATCTTGCTGTTTCTGTGATCCCCAACTAATCATGCCTGAGCCAAGAGAAAACAATAACCTAAGGTACTCTTCATATCATCCTCAGATCCTACCCAGTTACCGTTGGAGTAGCCAATTAACTTGACATCACTAGTTCTTGGATATTTAATACCAAAATCCACAGTGCCCTTAACACACCTCAAAACTCTCTTCACTCCATTGAGATGATTTTCACGTGGAGTTTGCATGAATCTGGATATCAAGCTAATTGCTTGCATGATATCAGGTCTGGTGGTAGATAAATACAACAAGCTGTCTATCATGCTTTGATAAATACCAACATCAATCTTAGGAAAACCGTCATCAATAGCAAACTTTTCACCAGAAATAGGAGTGTTCATTGCCTTGCAATTTGTCATGGCAACTTTGTCAAGGATTTCAATTGCATATATTTTCTGGCAGATAAAAATACCATTGCAAGATTGAGTCACTTCCATACCAAGGAAATAAGACAGCTTTCCAAGTTCATTCATGTTGAACAAGCTGATTATCTCAACTTTAAATTGACTCAAAGCAGCCTCATAACTTCCTGTCACAAGTATATTGTCAACATAAAGAGACACAATCACAAGTTTTTCATTTTTATGCTTCACATACAGAGTTGCCTCACTCAAGCTTTTCTCAAATCCCAACTTCAACAAGTGGTCATCAATCTTACCATACCAAGCTCTTAGAGCCTGTTTTAATCTATACAGTGTTTTCTTGAGAAAATAAACTTTTTCTTTTGCTTCTTTCTATACGTAGCCCTGTGGTTGCTCAACATATATTTCTTCATTCAAAGTTCCATTTAAGAAGGCTGACTTGACATCTAAATGATAAACAACCTAGCCTTTATGAGCAACAAGAGCCAAGAGAAGTCTGATTGTTTCAAGTCTAGCAACAGGAGCAAAGGTCTCATTGAAATCCACATCAGCAAGTTGAGAGTAACCCTTTGCTACCAATCTAGCCTTATGTTTGTTAAGACTACCATCAGAATTCAATTGACCCCGAAAACCCACTTGACTCCAATGACACTTTTGTTTTTATGTCTATCAACTAGTTTCCAAGTGTCATTCAACTCAATCATCTTGAGCTCCTCCTCCATTGCAGCACTCCAATCTTTTGAATTTGTTGCTTCATTAAAATTTAAGGGCTCTTCATAAGCTATATTGCGCCTGTCATAAATATTATCCAGAGACCTCGTCCCTCTAATAAGCATAATCATCATCAAAATCTTGTTCAGATAAGTTGTCTGCATTTTCCTCCAGATTGCTCAACTCAATAATTGAACCAACATCAGTGTCTGCTAATTGACTGTTGTGACTCACCTCAGATTTTTTCCAGTCCCATGCAACCAACAAATTTAACACTTCTAGTCATAATTATCTTCTTTGTAGCCACATTATAAATTCTATACCCCTTTGACTGAAAGCTATAGCCAAAAAGATCCCTACTTCTGCTCTTTGATTCAACTTGTCTCTTTTAGATTTAGGAACGAAGGCATGACAAATACAGCCAAACACTTTGAGGTGACTAACTGAAGGTTTAGCGTTAGTCCACACCTCATAGGTGTTTTACCTTTCACAGCTTTAGTTGGGACCCTGTTCAACAAATAGACTGATGTGTTGACTACTTTTGCCCAAAAACTTTTTGGCAAACCTTTCTCAAACAATAAGCACCCAGCCATGTTCAAAATAGATCTGTTCTTCCTCTCACTAACTCCATTTTGCTGAGGTGTGTATGGAACAGTGAGCTGATGTGGGATTCCAGCTTGTTTGAAGAAAAACTGAAATGTTGTTGATGTATATTCACCACCATTATATGATCTCAGTATCTTAATTGTTTTCCCTGTTTCATTTTCCACCATGGCCTTAAACTCAACAAATCTTTCAAACACATTTGACTTTTGTTTCAGAAAATAAATCCAACGCATCCTTCTGTACTCATCAATAAAAAATAGGAAATATTTGCTCCCATTTAAAGAATTGGCCTCCATAGGACCACAGACATCAACTGCAATCCTTCTAAAGCTCTGGTTGCCTGTTCAGTAGGGAATGGTAACTAACTTTGCTTACCAAACTGACATACTTCACACACACAATTAACTTCAAACACAAAGGGAATATCACTAGCCAAATTCTCATTGTACATTCACTTTAGTGATTTTCTATTGAAATGGCTTAGTCTCTTATGCCACAAATCAGAATTATCCTCAAAACCAAACAAGCTTTAAATTCTATTTCTTTCCACTCAACAGGAAAATTGCTTTCATTCATCTTGACAGCAAACAACATAGCACCAATCTCATCATAAACATCACACAGTCTATCAAGAAAATGCAGCTCATATTTGTTTTCAATTAGCTGTGCTACACTAATTAGACTGAAACTTATATCAGGCACATGCAGAACATCACAAATTAGTTTGATACCTGATAGAGTTCTAACAACAGCAACTCCTTTTCCTTTTACTTCCACCAAATCTCCATTTTTGAGCCTACTTTTAAGGTATAACTCCTGTCAATGCTCTTAAAAACACTGAAGCCTAGTGTCATGTGGTGAGTACAGCCATTGTCAATCAACCAAAAGGTAGGATTGAGATCAACAACATTACAATTCTCAACCTTGTGGCCATAAACAACCTCTCCTCCTGCTGTTCAAGATTCTTTGCAATGTTTGCCTTTTGTGATGATTCTGCCTTGGACTTGCAGTTTCTAGCAATGTGACTAAAATGCTTGCAAGCCTTGCACTGTATCCCCCTGCCTTTGCCCTCCTGGTCTTTGAGTGTTTGGCTTACAACAACAATAGTTTGAAGAATGGTTGGTTTTCTGACAATAGATGCTAGGAGGAAATGGTTGCCTTTTTCCTTTGAACTTATTTCCTTGAAAATTTCTCTAAAATTCCTTTGGTCCACCACTCTTCTTTTCAACAACTGGCCTTTTTCCATCTTCTTGATCCTGACCCTTCTCTCTTTCTGTAGCAACAAGAGTGCCCTCTATATTTTCTTCACTCCTTAAAGCCTACCTTTAGTCAATGGCTTGTAAAGAGTTAATAAGTTTAGACGAGGAAGTTGTAGGAAGATCCTTAAAATCCTCCAAGGATGAAATCTTGTGCTCAAACTTTTCTGGTAAACTAACCAAAACCCTTTCAACCACTCTTTTATCTGAGAGTTTTACACTTAGCAACCTAATTCTGTTTACAATCTTCATAACCCTGTTTGAAAGGTTTTGCTTTAAAGAAAAACAACGAAAATGGAGAAAGAACAACTGAACTATTTCATTGAAGCTTGAAATATGTGCAAGCCTGGTCTGACAGACAAAAACAAAAAGTAGCAACCATGTGAACAATATAGCTTTTCCTAAACCTTTGCTACCTCTTCTAAAAGCATTGACCAAGATGAACTAAGCATAAAGACAAACTAGAATTAAAATGCAATAAAAAACTTGGAATAAACTGAACTAAATCAGTTTCATAAAGTCTAGTTCTTGAAACCTTCATTTCTTCAAAAATACCAATAAAGTATGTGCAAACTTGCTGTCACAGCTTCAATAAGGATTACATAAGTATTGATGATAACTAGCTATTATAGTTTGTAGTTAATGGTGACAAAAAGGAATTTTCATTAATAGATAAATGACCATATGGCTTCTTAGTTTGATTTGTTCCATTTAAGATCTCGATGACAAGTCACTTGACTTGTTTCATTCATAGTGGTGTCATTATATATCAAAAAATACTAACCTTGGATTACTTCAGTCAGGAATTTTGAGGTGGTAGATATGGATGAGATATTCTTTTTTAATATCAAGAAATGGAAAAAAAAAAAAGTTTTTGAAGTTTTTGGTAGGAAGTGTATATACGATACCTTCAATCTCTGAAATTGATAAAAAAAGTGAGAAGTAGCTATTAATCCACTGGTCAGAATGATGTTCATGGATCAAAAGTGCAGTGGCAAAACCAAACTTGTAAGAATTCAGGCCGTGTCCTTGTTTTCAACTTACGGTAGTGCTATATCTTTAATTT